GGGAAGACCTTATGTGCCATGTCTAGGCATTGGCGTTTCATCCTGAAGGAATGGGGAGGGAACGGAGGCCTGAAAGCAGGGAACAGAGGGTTAGCTACGTCTTGGTAGAGGAAACATGGAGAGCATATCGGGCTGGAAGTATGGCCCCACAGAAGAGGCTGCTATAGAACAGGACAGCGTGAGGTCCTGTGGGAGGTGGTGGTTAAGAACTTTGGATCCAGTCAGCCTGGGTTCAAGCTGACCATCACTTGCTAACTCTGAGATGTTGGGGAGATGCCGGCATTCTCTAAGAATCAGTTTCTTCTTCCATAAAATGGGGTATAATAACATTAATATCTACTCTATAGGGTTTTTGAGAGAATTCACTAAGGTACTACATGGCTAGTGCTGGACACAATTTCTCACGTGGGAAGCATTTTGTAACTATTATGGAGTAACAGCGGTAGATGTCTGACTTACGGAATGACCGAGGGAAGGGAGAAAGGTCTAATTTGAGAGCTTACCCTTAGCGACCAACCGAGTGTGGTCAGGGCCAGAGAGGAAATTACCAGAATTATGATTTCTCTCTGAGGCAGTAGGTTGGGGGTAGACTGGCAAAGAGCTGGGAGAGGAAGAACCAGCAAAGGGTAGAAGCAGAGGCGATGAGAGATGAGGTGTAGACATGCTTCACTTGAAGTACCGGTTAAACATGCAGATGAGGCTTGAGGGAGGCGAGGCCTTAAGTAGTAGGAACTAAGGGAGAGAGTGACCCTTAGCTTGGATGCAGATGAATAAATACTGCAAGAGGCAGAGAAGTCTGCACTTAGTTACCTGGCATTCGAAGACATTCTGCTTAGCCCGTGTAGACTCCAGCACAACAAGGGGATTCTAGTTTAGGATTGACTGCAAGATCCACGCCTTAGCTCTCCGGCTGTAACAAGGCAGATGATTCTGAGAATGTTTTCCTTCTCTGGGGAGGAGTTTATGTCCATGTCATAGCAGGAGCTGAGAACTGAGTGACCCCTGTTAATAATTACAGGGGCCCAGCGGCTTGGTCTCTCATTCTGAGCGAACAGAGCTGGGAAGGAGGTTATTCTTAGGAATCATCTGATGAACAAAACGCCATGCCTGACACTCTGATAAAACAACCCCCAGTGCTTCTGGCTGCACCTGCTCCTTTGCTGGTTTTATTTATCCGAGAAAGGCTAGGAAATGTGATTCCCCAAGTTCGCCTGAGTAGGTAGCAGAGCCCACAGGCGGTGGGGTCAAGTACACAGCCCCGTGCTGGGAACCGTGCCGTCCCTGGTTACCCAACCGTGGCCACTGCTAACTAAAGTCACTTCACCCCTCTTTCCCGTTTGGGGTACCTGGAAAATTGGGAGGTGAATAGGACTGGAAGAAGAATCATAAGGTTAGAGTAGTGCAGTGGAATTTAAGGAGGAATTGTAAAGAATTTTCCTAATCCAGCTGTGTGAGTCGGGGAGAAGGGCATTAGCCCATCCGCACCGGGAGTGGGGGAGATGGGGGGTGGGGAGGGCAGTGTGGAGCCTGGGAGCTGGGGCTCTCAAGTGAGCTACCAGGTGGGAACTCTTTGCATCTGGATGGAGCTGGTCTACACAGTCTGGCTGTAGTCAGACCTACTGATGCTGGATGGTCATCAAGATGTGGGAACCTCAGAATTGCAGGAAAGGGACGGATGAGTATGTGAGAACTACCCTCTATAGGCCATGGTCACAGGGCTCTGCATGGTCCACTCTCTGCAGGGGACCCAGGAGGTGACAATGGTTAACAAGCCAGTGAGTGAGAATTTTAGGCTCATTTTACAGGTAGGGATTGCCCGGGGCCTTACCACTACTCTACAGCCAGATAAGGTTCCAGGCCCTATCTTTTGACACCAGTACTATTTTGTTGGGCCATGCATGGCATTCAGGGCTCATTTAACCAGTTTCCCCTGCAGAGTCCTAGAAATTCCCACATGAATCGGCATTCACTTGCTCTTCCAGCCCTTCAGTTATCCCATCGGCAGCCATTGAGCGCTTGGTAGACTCAAAGCACTTGAAGATTTCCTAAATCTCAAGTACTGTGTTGTGTTCGCTTCCCAGTTCCACGGAGAGCAGAGCCCTTTTCTCCTCACAGGGATTAGAAGCTAGTTCCTCCCCGTGCACTCACAGAGGCCCTCCTGGAGATCTGGAGACATCGGCCCAAATACCATATCTTGCCCTCGTCCAAGGTGTTTCTATAAACACCTCTCGATAGTGTATGGCTGAGCTGGAGAGTGGCTTTGCTTTGCAGAGTCACAGTGAACGTTGGCAGCAATAAAGGACAGAAGGCACCCACGCGGAAGGCTTTCCTGCGTGGCTCAAGTCCACCTGTAGTTCTCTAGTGAAATTGCCCCAAGCAACCGGAAGCTGATTGGCAGGCTCCTGGCTTCATTTCTGAACCTCCTTCTAGTCTTTGCACTAATTTTCCTTTTTTTCTGCTTATCATAAATCTGTATCTGCTTCTAATCTCACATTGAGCTAGAAACTCTTGACTCTCCTCCCGTTCACCTGAGGAAGTGATGTCCTCTTTGCTTGGCATTCCTAGATCTTACCATTGAGTTCATAGAGGTCCTCTGCCTCCCAAATGCTCCCAGGTCTCTCAGTCACTGAAATTTCCCTCCTTCTTGGACACTAAGC